GCGGACGGAAGACTCGAAATGTGGCACTCGCTCTCTTTCTTTCTGGCCGATGTTAAATTTGTTAAATCGATAAACTTTGTTTAGTGCGCGGAAACAACAAGAAGTCAGCCAGCCAGCCAGCCAGGCGGTCGAACGAGCGGCCAACCGGGCGATTGTGATTGCGACCCCGGCCCAAAACCACAGGCCAAAAAAGGAGACCGACTCCCCAAACTATCCAATCACTCGGAAAAACTCCACATTATTATCAACCTAATGGTTGGAAACACATGTTTTATTAGATTTGACTTAAAACTAAATATCAAAAGAAATAAAAAGTAAATGGATAGGATAAATACGATTCATATAGGTTCATATAGGATTTTGTATGTTCCTTTTTTTGTTTTACGTGCATTTGGCCAAAACTGCCACCAGTTCCTTGGTTACGCGGCCTTCCTTTGGATTTATTTTTTCCTGGCTGGATTGCGTCAATCAACAATTTGTCAACTCTGCCAGCAGACCGCGACTTCTTCTTCTTCTTCTTCTTCTTCCTCTCCTTGGTGTGACATTAACTCATTGGAGACCGGGTGGAGAGCAAAAGTCCACCCACTCCACAGCAGAGCACCTCTCACCTTTCAGCAGGTCGTTTAATCGATCAACGGATGGCCTCTGGCATTGAGAATCTGTTTTGAATCGGTGCCACCGAAGTGGGTGGCTCAGTGGTGGGTGGCTCCGGTGGGTGGCTCCGGTGGGCTGGCGCCTTGAGTGGGTGGTTCCAGTGGTTGACATAGCGGTAGCCAACTGGTGTGCCTGACCCCAAATCGATCTAACAAAGCTGTTCACGCGACAATTAATAGTCGAACAAATTTTGGGGAGAGACATGATGGGGAAATAATGTCAAGAGTGGCACCAAAAAAATCCAATAAGGTACTGATACCAAAGGGAAGACTCGAAATTTATCTGCTTTAAAGGAAGATAGCTAGGAATCCAAAACCGGTAGCTGTGATAATGGTCAGCCGTTGGCCAAAACGATTTATGGCCATCCAACTATCGTTGTTGCACTGAAAATAAATAAAAAGCCCATTATTAAGTCCACTGATCCCTACACTTATTAAATCTCTTTAAAGCAGTCAAAAATCATTTTAGAAGGTTTACAATTAAATGTTTCTTGCCATAAAAAAGCAAACCAGTCTTACCTAATTTTACACAAAACTATTTACATAGTTTTATCGAAAATATTGTCGGGTTGTGTGTGCAGTGTCGTTAGCCACTTGGCTAGATGGCCACTTAGCCGAACGGCAATCACGCAGCTAATGGGCCAATGGAGCTGGCCAAGAACTTTAAGCCGGCCGCTGGCCGTTGGCCAAGTGTGCTGGCCATCCACATCGATGATGGATCGCAGATTGAGGGGCTCTCTGGGCAATTTGTCGACACTTTTGGTCTTTCGGTGCACGGAATCCACGGATCTTCTGTTCTTCTGCTCCTCTTCTCTTCTTTTGGTCTTCTGGTGGTGGAGATGGCAGCCGCAGGACCTCCAGCTGACATAATGATGCAGCAGTTGTTGCTGGCGGCTTCCTGCTGCAACTTCCAGTTGCAACTGCACTTTCGGAGTGCACTCTAAATCTCAAGCATCCCGCTTCCTCTCTTTTTCTCTGTTTTTTTTTTTTTTGCTTGCATTACTTTTTCGCGTTTGGCATATGTCACATGCAATTTGAACCCCCCGTCCACCGAAATCGCCACCCCCTTGTAATTGTCGGCAATTCTGCAATTTTCGTTATTGTTAATGGCGGTTTTTGTGTTTTTTTTTTCACAGTTTTTGTTTTCATTTTCAGTTTTGGGTTTTGTTTTTGCCAAGAAATAACAAAAATGGAAGCGAAAATCTCACATCTTGCCGACAATGGATCGGTTCGGTTTGGTTCGGATCGGATCGGTTAGAGCAGGCGTCCATCGATAGCTGACGGTGCCTGGCCTCCATCTGCATATATTAAAGGTATGAATATGCACTGGAAGAAAATTCCACTTCATATTCCGTGCTATAAGCATTCTAGCACAAAACAATCACAGTGAGATTTCGTTTTTAAAGATCTTCGTTTTCTTAATGGGTATTTATACTTTTATATCGCACTACTAACATCCCAAAATATAAATTTTTTGCCAGTGCATGCATGTGTAATGTATGTGTAACCCCGATGATTGCGTACGTTGCAATTGCGAAGGTTCCTCTCAAGTCGCGAATCGCAAATCTGACAAATTCGCACTCGCCTTTCGGATTTGCGAGTAATTGCGCGACTCTCCACCCTTCTCTTCCCTACCAACTCGATCCCTTTGATCTCGCCGAATCGGAATCGGAATCTTATCCGCATAGCTGCCTTTCGATAGGGAGGGGTATCCACCCCCACATGGTTTTACCTTTTGCAGAAATACAGGGATGCGGATTGAGGTCAGCAAGTTTCAATTTAAAGTTTTAATCTATACGTTAATCTAATGACTTGCTTTTGAATCTTAATCTTTCTAGTCAAATAAGTCGGGGTATTAATTAGGTTAATATTATCAATATGCTCTAACTATAAAATGAATCAAATTATGAAATGTGGATTACTATCAGACAACTTATCAGTAAGAAGATAATTTGTTATGGTTTACCAAAAACTAAAAAAAATACTTAGAATAGCTAAGTTATGTATTATTTTAGGATTCTATTTCCATTGTTTAACAATAGTTTATTGAATTTGTAAATCTCTTCTACTCCATTTCCATCCGCCAACCGGCTATTCCATGTGAGCGGTTACCGTTCGACTGATAAGAGTTATGGCGATACCCGGCGACCCCTATTCCACCGACCACCCCCATCCCCCAAGTTGCACCACCCCTTGCCGCCCACTAGCCCTCACCTTGGAACTCCGTGGCACACATTGTTGGGCCCCCTGCCTCCCCCCTCGCCTCCCTTCGCCCACTTGGGGGTGGCTCTCTCTCTTCGAAATCTCTCCGTTTGAGATGCTCTCCTTCTTTCTCTCTACTTCTCGGCTACCTGTGTGCAACCAAAGAGAGCGGCAGGTGGGTGAAGGGGGACGGGTGGCAGATGGGTTAAGGGGGTTACCATAAAGGGGGAGCGTCAAACAAATGTGCGAGAGCCAATCGATGACGAACGCGCGTGTGCGACGCCACATATGTGTGCGTGTGTGCGAAAATGCGTGCGAGTGTGTCTGTTGGCATGAATGTATGTGTTTGCGGCCAGAGCGCCAATATGTATGCTGCAGAGCACACAGAAAAACTAGGAGATCTTCAAGGACCTTCGTAGAAGATCAATATAGATCATGAGAATGCACAACCCTAATTTCAAAAACAAATATATTGAAAGAATATAATTCTTAAAAACATTTACAAATATGGGATAAAAGGTGAAATATCAAATAATAAAAAACTATATATGATAATTAAATCTTAATGAACCCTAAGCAGCGCTATAAGATAAAAGGATAATAAAGTTAATTAGAAAAATCGGAACCTGAAAACTATTGCATCCCCTACCCTTAACCCCTACATCCCAAAACAATTAACAACAAAAACAATTCGCACACACACGCGCACACTGAAAACAAAAACCACACACATTCACATACACACACCAGCGCACAATTGGAGCTCTCATATGTGAGAGTGCGCTGATTCTCATATCAAAGAGCCTGACATTAATGGCAGCACGACGTCGACCGCGACAGCGACGTCGGCAGAGAGCGTCCAGTTTTTTGTTTTGTTCGCTACTTATTTCTTTTTTTTTGGGGGCCATCGGGCAAACATGTTTGACGTTGCGGTTGCAGAGGTTGGAGGATGGCGCTAAAAGAGGGGGAAGATCATTCATTCAGGGATGCACCTTAACCCATGGACGCCACTAGAAAACCCCACCACCACCCCCTACCCACATGACCTTTGAAGATCTCTGAGAGCTTACAACATGTTGCAAGTCGCAAGCATGTCGGCTAGGTTGGCTCATCCAGTTGGAAGCGGTGTGTCCGAAGCTCCATCAGACGCTTTTGGACACTCGAACGGGGAGGACGTACTCCATAAAGCGGAATGATAATATCACAATAAAAATACAGACTTTAATTTTTAAAATGTCCTATCATACAAATCTTACAAGTTTATATAACTTACATTAAAATTGTCCTAGTATATCCATTTCTTACTTCTTCATATTAAAAATCATAGGAAAAACTTTTGTAAATCTGTAGACAACAATTGTTTAATGAAGTTAGTTAGTCTGCTTTTTTATGACTTGTTCCTCTTATTATACCCTTGCAGTGGGTATTACAATTTCAGTCAGAAGTTTGCAAGGCAGTGAAGGAGACAATCAGCCCCATAAAGTTTTTTTATTCTTGACCAGAAGGATGATCGTAATGAATCGAATTTCGAATAAAATTTTCTTAGAAGCCCAAACTTATGCTTATTGGTAACAAATCCACTTTGCAAAATTCGTCACCAATGTGATCCTTTCAGGACTTGTTTTACTGTTTTGATTTTTTGCGCGAAAGGTGCGCGCGCGCCTTAAAGGCTTGTAAACTTGTGGTCGTGTTTCGTTGTCCTCGCCGTGTTCTGCCGGCGAAAGGGGTTGCAAAAGCCTGTTCTGCTAAGCTATCTGCATGTTAATCCTTGGATTGACCAGAGTGACCAGTTTGAAAGGCACCACCCCTGCGAATCGCGCGTGTTGTCTCGCTCTAGCAGCCGTGAGCGGGTGTTTGATGTCCACCCCCACATACGCACACACACGCACACGAGGGCACACTCGCTCGCACACACACATGGCCGGCGGCAAATAAACAAACGCCCGTTGCCACCCAACAATAGCGGTTAAGGCAAAAGCAACCCACCACCACCGCACCACCAAAAAACACCGTTAGGAAAGGGCTGCGTTGGCGTCGACGTTGCGTCGGCGTTGACGTTGCCGCCGACCGAAAATCAAATTGCCAGATTGGCATTAAAGTGCAAAAGCCTGAAATAAAATTGAATTATCTGCAGTCGCTCGCAGGACATCGTCGCTTTCGGACTTGTTCGCCTAAGCTCGCTCTCGCCGGCGCCCGCTCTCTAGCTCTTTGTCTCTCTCTACCTCTCACACACTCACGTTCTCTCCGGCTCGCAAGCTTTCGTTTCGTTTGCAACGCGTTCGTTCGTGTTCGTTCGCGTTCGTTCACGTTCGCTTGTGTGGGTTGTTGGAGCCATTGGGTGAGTGCGAGTGTGTGCTTTTGCTCGTACTGTTTGTTGTTGCGCGCTGGACAAAAGCTGCGGCGCTGCTGCAGCGACGCCACCGAGAGCAGCGGCAGCGAAGACGCGCTCGCCGCTAAAACGTTGCAAGTAGTCGCGTACTTCCGCCGTTACCGTTAGCACCACACACAAAACGGAGCTGCTAACCGCTGCGAAACGAAAAGCACACAGCTTTTGCCGATTTACCGTTAGCCGTCGCGGCCATCACTAACTCCTAAAACACAAACAAAAACAAAATAATTAACACAGATGAAAAATACAAAACATGATATAAAAACCAAAATTTAAAATCAAAAATACACACTTTGTGCAATTTTTTTCAAGTGTCCCGGCGTGTGTTATCAACAAAAAATACGAAATCCAATTGGTTACACATATACAGCAAGCAGCCCAATTGTTTTTCCCATATACAAATAAAGCCGCGTGCGTTTGTGACAACAACAAAACTGCCAAACAAACAACAAATCCTGTAAAAAAAGCCCCCCCGTGCAAAAGGTTCCTATACTAAAGAAATAAAATGCACAGATTACAAGAGTCATACTGAAAAAGAAGTGACAAGTGTACTGCTAATACTAATTTTTTTTTTTTTTTGGAAAATGGCAGCTCTCGAAAAGCCCCCAAAAACCAAACTGAAGCTGTCTGATTAGAAAATTTAAGCTAGAGATTTCCATTAGTGTTTGTGTGATTTTTTTTTAAACCAAAAAAAAAAAAAAAAAAAAAGAGGAACGTGCAATATAAACAAATATAGAGGAGTAGGCCTAGGAAAAAATAACCTTAGACTTACTGAACTTTACGAACGAAAGCCAATTGGAAGTTGACATCCCAGTTGGAATTGGGAGATCGGCAGGACATTGCCCTTCGGTGGGTTTGTGTGCCTGTGTCTGCGAAGTTTTGAAACACCTTCGGAAACTGGAAACAAAAATGAGAATTAAAATGCCCGCGGTTCGAATTGCACAAGGTAAGTTTATTGGGATGGGAAAACTTTTCCAGCTGGGATATCCCAATTGGGTTATTTTTTCCCGGCACAACGCAAACAGCTGATGGAAGTTTTTGCCCGGTACTGGTGAAATTTGTGTAGGCTGGAAATGGATTATTTTTAGGGTGCCTTAAAGCTGACTTTCAAAACTAAATGGTATTTGCCTAAATAACATTTTGAAGTTCCTAATTAAGATTGTTTATGTGGACCATATGTGTTGGGATAATCATTTAATTATGTTAGTGACTTATCATTTACATATTATATTAGCTAAGGACTTTGACGTTAAATACCATAAATACACACGTAGAAATTATAAATAGAAAGATAACAATATAAATAATGGGGTCAGTAGTTCCATACTTTCCATTTGTCAGTAAAATTTGGGATGTTTTACTCGTGCGGTTATGGTCAGGCCATATCAGTCGACCATGTCACACCTCCGCCGAGCACCCACACCCCTCTTATTTCATATGGAAGGTCTCCTTCGGCTCGCTTTTTTTTGTATCTAGTCGAGTTATCGCTGCGATATCGCCATGCCTAAATCAGAGCTCGCCTAGGTGTGTTTGCAATAATTTTTCAGATTTTTTTTTACTCGCCTTACCTTCGTAGAATCGTTGTTTCGATTGGAGCACTTCGTTTCGTTTTTATAGTCCAGTTGGTCATTCGGGGGAATTTCCTTACCAATTTCGCGCTTGCCTGGACGCTGGTCGAGGGACGAGTCGGAAAACGGCTTAGATCAAAAGGGAAATCAGGGCCGTAAAGCCATAAAGCTTGAATAGCGGGCCACAATCGACATATCCCCACATTCGTATGCCTCGACCATATCATTGTCATAATATGGATTGTCCCCACGCCATAAAGCCATAACTTTTCGCTCGTTTTTTGGGCATGGTTGGGCTGTGTTTTTTTTGCACAGATTTTCCATTTGCCGAGTGAGCAAGCAGTGTTATCAATCTTATCTAGATAGCGGCACAGAGCGAGTGGACAGTGACGCACTTGACTCGGCCAGTTGCCCACTCCCAACTTATATGGCCACCTTTTTCGGAACCCCTCTCGATCCCATCCCCATGTCGCCAAACAATTTTAATTGCTCGCAAAGTTGTTTGCTGTTCCCCCCCTTGCGTTGTACGAGTATGTCTTCTTTTTTTTTTTTTTTGGTCTATTTGTCTTACAAATCAAAATCAACAGAGCGGGGTGGCTGCACCTGTCCCTCCATCACCTCCTTATTTTTCCAGGTAATTTAGTGATAAGAAGAGGCCTAATTGCTGACGATCGGAGCTCGGACTTGTTTTTAGATGGAGAGCATCGGACGCGCAGCTGTGGTGGTGTTGGCACTACCCATCCTTATCGATATCTGCTGTCCCCAAAATTGCTGTTGTTAGCCTCTTTCCCCCACATGCCCACCCCCATATCCATTCTATCATAATTAATTGCTACAATTTCAATTTCGATTCTTTTTTTTTGTTTCTTTGTGCTCCACCCAACCCTCACGAGTCTTTCTTTTTTTTCGCTTGTTGACATTTTTCTTGTAGTGGGAATCTTTTTGATCTCCGTTCAGCAACAAAAACAATATGAGTTTTACAGCATTTCGTCATGCCGCCCATGGGTGCTCTTCTTATCGGAAACATGGGTTAAAAGGGGTGGCCGCGGGGGGACAATGGGCGTGATGAGTAATTTCCGAGAACAAGTCGCAATGTTCATGTACGACAAGTTATTGGGAGTACCTAAAAAGTGGATCGAAATAGGGAAGGGATGGAAAAGGGGTGAAAACTTGGGAAAAAACAGATCGCTTTCTGAAGAGGGAATCTGGGGAATCTAGCGTTTAACTATTGAATAGGTTTACGTTTAATGTTTTGTCTTAAAACTAATAATAATTGGGAATTTAAAGTGAACAAAAACAGCCAACTGATAAATGAGCTACAAGCAATTAAAATGTTCGATTAAACAATCAAACTTCAGCTGTCGATGGGTTAATGCCTCCATATCCTGCAGGCCGTCGAGCTTGGGTGAACAAACATCCTGACGGGGATTCGGAATAGGGTTCGATTCTATATGGTCAGCGTTAATCGAGCGGCACGCTTTTGGGTTCGCCGATTGCACCTGCACGTGCCCACACTTAACCCGCTGTTAGCCCCCTAACCCCTTAACCCCTTATTGACCCACCTGACTGACTATCCGACTGACCGGGGTTTTTTTCGCCTCCCGTTGGGTGGACATCTCACGGTCGTCCTGGCGGCGCCTGCTCTTGTTTTCCTTGGCTCCTTGCTTGATTTTTGTTGCCTTTTTTTTTAGCCGTTGCCTTTCTCGTACCTTGGTTCTCTTTTAATTTGATTATCGACCAAACAGTGTCCATTAAATGAGCGACCGACCGACCAGGCGACCGCTGCCGCCTTTTTTGTTATCCTGCTCCTGTTCGCCATGGCAACGTCCTCCTCGCGTTTTCAGCCGTTTGCAATTGTTATAACAAATAACAGCGGTGCCCCCTCCTCCCCTTTCCCCTCCCTCCAAAAACGCCCACACCCCGAGGGTCCTGCACCCGCAGTGTCAACGTGTCGTCATGTGGACGTCAAACTTTTGTCCAGCTGCGGCCACAGTTTTGGATGTTGGCTCCCAAATGCGGGGAAAAGGGAATGGGACCTTCGGGCTGAATGCCAACTCTCGTATTTATGTATAATTAAACTGCTGCAAAAAACGATAAACTAGGAAAACAATTTAAAATACTATGGAAAGCTCAGTTGCCTTTGTCGAACAGAGTAATAATTAAGAAAATGCTTATTGATTTCCCCAAATATTTATAAATATTTCTTAAGACTGTAGAACTTGGTGATACTGTTCCCAAGTTTTAGAGACTTTCAAAGCATTTTTCTATTGTTTTTAACGGCAACGAAAATGTTTCTTTCGGTGTGGAATGGGAACTGCTGCATTTGAATGCTCACGGGGGGCAAGGACATGGCGGATATAAATTGAAACTGGCCCGTTCTGGGCTGCGCAGCGGGAGAGACGCCAGCGCCGCTCACATGGTCCAGACACTGGGCATGCCCCACCCCCCTCCATAGCCCCCTTTCGAGCGCTTTTCCCTACTGCCGCTGCCACTGCCACTGGCAGCATAATCAGCCACAACAGCGCTCAGCGAGTTACTTCCGCTGCGGCGAGTCTGCGATTCAGACGGCGACTAAAATCCGAATCTGGAACTAAAACCCCGAGTGCCGGGGACTCTGATCCGCAGGACTCTTGGTCCAAACTGTCTCGCTAGGTGCATCCGCTTTTGGCCAGCCCTGCATGTCGGTCCTGGCGGTCCTGCGAGTCCTTCGAGTCCTGCCCCTTTTCAGCTCAGCTCTCTCACATTTTCCCTGAATTGTTTTGCACCCGCCTTTGTTTTCCACTCGCTTTTCGGCTTTTGTTCGGTTTTGTTTGCAGACTTTTTTAATTTTTAAAGATTTTCCCTGGCACAAAAACTACGCATAAAGGCTAGTAAGTGTGAATGCTTTGGTTATTATTCGCTGACTTTTATTAACCAGCTTTGCCTTTCTGATTTTCTTTTTCATTTTATTACCAGGGGAGTCACAAAGTGAATAAAGCGGAGTAAGTAGGTGAAAGGCAAGAAATAATTGTGTTACATTTATATACAAATATAAATTCTAAGCAATTAAAGAAATACAAGTTTTTAAAAACCTTGACTGAGAATTTGCGATGCAAATGTAAAATATAAAACCAGTTACAGAGTTTATTCAATGTAGAATGACCTAATCAGAGTAGAAATAATAATGGCAAAGATAATAATAATGTGCAAACAGTTTGCAACAATTCCCCTTAATTCACTTGTTATTCTTTTATTTGGAGAGCCAACTTGGCGTATACTTAACCTCTGCCAAGAACAAATAGCCGAACAAAAAAAGGCAATGAAATGGGGAATCCCACAGAAAAAGCCCGAAACAGAAGCTAACAAGTTAATGAATCTTTTACTCTTTTGCCTGAGTTTGTTTTGACGCGCATTTTCTTTGGGGTTTTTCTCGATTTTTCGTGTGCCGGTTTTTCTTTTACTTTTTTTTTTTTTTTTTGTTGTATTTTTTTTATGATGTCCCGCCCCGCACTTTGGCAAACTTTTCACTTTCAACGGTGAACGGTGGGCGGTTAGGTGGTTAGGTGGTTGGGTGGCTGGGTGGTCGGGCGGTGCAGTAGAACTTGGCACCTTTGTCATAGTTAGAGCACCATCGCCACCACCCCAATTTCCCCCTTTTGTGTCTCTGCAAACACAATTTCTTTTTCTCGCTTTTCCTTCTCGTTTTTTTTTTTAGCGCGTAGCCGGCGAGCAAAACAAACCGCAAAATGTTCGAAGGCGAACATCTGACTGTAAGTGATGATGGGTGGAGTATCCTGCCACGCCCCCCGTCGCCCACAGCCGCCCCCTTGTTTGCCCGCGCACGCGCTACAAATTTGCCTAGGCGCGAACGAAAATTTCAATGGGTTTTCCTTGGTTTTGTTGTTTTTTTTTCTTGCTTTCCTTCTGCTATTTTGTTTTCTATTTAAAGCACATCTGCTCTCATCCCCTTCGAGCACGTGCCAAAAGCGAACCGGAAATGCGGAAGATGGCCAGGTTAAGGAGTAAAAAACCAAACAAAAAATGGGAAAAAAAACCCACAAGACTACTACGAAATTATGGTTGCGAAGAGGAGTCATAATTATTTTGCATAAATTAGGCCAAGATCAAATAACTCAGCTGCGCAAAGGATGGGCGGGGTCTCTCGAAGAGAAGCTGCAATGTGATTAGTTTCGGGCCGTGGCAGTCATTCATTAAGATCCACGGGCTTGGCAGCGCCTACGCAGTGTCATAGAAGCCCAAAGAAATCCAAAGAGATCCGCAGAAAACCAGAAGAGATCCAAAGAAATCCAAGAAGAAACCCAACGAAGCTCGATGAAACTCGAACAAGCCCAGAGACCACGGAGGAAGGAAGCGAGAAGAAGAAGCTGCCCCGAAAGCT